CTCTCAGACGGTAGTGGATAAACCTCATTGGCTGTAATACTGCCACCACAGGCCCGTGAAAAGATGTTCGATGTCACTAATTATTAGGGAAATACAAATCGAAACCACAATGAGCTATCATTTCACACCCATTGAATGGCTATTATCAAAAAGACAAGAAATAACAAGTATTGGAGAGGATGTGGAGAAAAGAGAACCCTTATACACTGTTGATGGGAATGCAAATTGGTGTGGCCACTATGGAAAACAGTATGGAGATTTCCCCCCAAATTAAAAATAGAACTACCATATGATCCAGCAATTCCACTTCTGGGTATTTATCCAAAGGAAAGGAAATGACTATTTCAAAAAGATATCTGCACTCCCATGTTATTGCAGCACTATTTACAATAGCCAAGGTGTGGAAACAACCTAAGTGTCCATCGACGGATGAATGGATAAAGAAAATGTGCCATATACAATGGCATATCATTCAACCATAAAAAAGAAGGAAATTTTGCCATTTGTGACAACATGCATGTAACTTGAAGGCATTACGCTAAGAAAAAAGAGAAAGACAAATACTATATGATATCTCTTATATATGGAATCTAAAAAAGAACCAAAACCCAGACTCATAGGTACAGAAAACAGATTGATGGTTCCCAGAGGTGGAAGTGAGGGATGGGCAAAATGGGTAAAGAGGGTCAATTGCATGGTGACTGATAGAAACTAGATTTTAGTGATGAGCACGCTGTAGTGTATACAGAAGTTGGATTATAATTACGCATGAAACTCATATAATGTTATAAACCAGTCTTAGCTCAATTAAAAAAAGGAAGATAGAGAAAATAGAAAACATAAAGAACTTCTATTCCTGGATTTTGTATTGACCAATATGAATAACAAGTTGATGTGGAATGGACAGGAACATTGGGGAAAATGACTGTGTTATGTGCAGTTTACTTTATCGAGCAGAGAAGGCTGATTATTGACACATACACTAGACATTAAGGAAAATGATTTGAATCCAGTTTGGTGCATTACAGGTAGGACCCATTGACAGAGGTCATGAAGAATGGCAAGCTCATAAAATTATGATGCAGATGTGAAAATCTAAATTGTTCCCATAAAGAAGAAAGGGGAGAAGGCCTTTAAACCTCTTTCACCGGGTAAAAAGCCTACACTTATTAAACTTAGATTTCAAAAAGGATACTTACAAACCATGAAATATGGGTGTGTTGTATAGGATAATTAAGAAAGTACATGTGCGTTCATTGAGTTGAATAGTGGCTTCCAACACATCCTTTGAATGTGACCTCATTTGGAAATAGGGTCTTTGCGGATTTAATTAAGTTAAAGATTTTTGAGATGAGATCATCTTGAATTTAGGGTGGACCCTAAATCCAATGACTGATTTCCTTAAAGAAAAGGGAGACGGAGATTTGACACAGAGACACACAGAGGGGAAAGGCCATGTGGAGATGGAGGCAGAAATCAGAGTGAGGCATCTATGAGGCAGGAACAACTAGGATTGCTGGTGACCACAGAAGCTAGAAGCATGGAACAGATTCTTCCTTAGGGCCTCCAGAAGGAGCCACTCCTGCCAACACCTTCATTTTGGACTTTTAGCCTCTGGAATAAATTTCTGTTGTTCTAAGCCACCTGGTTTGTGGTGTTTTGTTGCAGCAGCCACAGGAAGCTAATACAGTACATTAAACCCCTGTGAAGATTAAGGGTGGAGGTGGAAACCAAAGGTCAGGTTCATCTAAAACTCTTGAAGAATCCTAAAAGAAGCAAAAGGGGCTTTTAAAAAATCTTGAAACAAAATACAAATAAGCAAAAAAGTAAGCCTGCTGCTTAGGAGGATGCTGTCATTTTCATAAGTGACCAAAAGAAAGAATATCTGCTCAGCAGCCGTAGAGGGAACATCAGGCTGGGGTGCTGGTCCGTACCCCAACACAGAGTTCACCTCCTCTCAGTAGATAGTGGAAGGGGTTGGGGACCTGGGTACATAGGTGCAATGGCAAGCACTGACCATTTGGGCTACTTCACTTCCGCTCTCTGACAATGATACTGGGAAAACCATTCTTAACTTGTCTTTTTTTACCTAAATATTTATATGAAGGCCCCACATAATAATATCACCATTTTCCTGGGTGTTTCTTTCCATCTCTTAGATGGCTGCAACAATGGACAATGAGTCAAGATTTTCCTTTTCATTAAAATTGCTTGCAAAATCAATACACTGTGGTTATTTTACAAGCCAGAGGGAGTATTTCAAATAATTGATCAAATGGGTGTGTGACATAACCCCCCCCCCATTTTAACCAGACCTTATTTTTAAGTGATTCTGCTTCCCTTGTTCACCATGCCCTACAAAAATTGAAGCCCCCTTTTCTTGAAGAGACATAATTTCAGAGATTTGGTTTCGAAATGAAGTGGATGAAATGATCCTCAGACACCACAAGTCTTTTGGATTTCTGAGGATGATCACAGTTTTCCAGGGGGGCAATCTTAGGTTTCCAGGACCACCTGGAGGCATGGGCAGCCTTTTCCTACGCCCAAAGAAACCACACTCAAGACGAATTGTCTAACTGGAAACTGTTTGACTCCTTAACATGTTGAGACAGTGAGCTAGTGAAATGGAATTTTTGCTTCTAATTGTGGAAGGTTTTTATATGACGCCAACATAATTGAGGCCATTGATGGAGGAAGCAAGAATCATGGATTTTTCAGTGTCATTATTGTATTTGCATCTTTGTGGATTAATTTAAGTGGGTTTTGCAGCAGGGAGTGAGTCACAATAATTATTGTCAAGCTTGGACAGGAACAATAAAGGGCTCCATTTTCCAGGATTGTGAAGATAATGTCTTTCTCCAAATTACTTTGTGGTAAAAGATTGAATTGGTCATTTTTGCTCTTCTAGCCTATGATGTAGTTTATTATAGTTTATAAGAGTTAGAGCATCTACCCCTGAGATGAGAGTCAGAATCGCAATTGCCTGTTGAATTCAAGTGATCTGGAAAAATAAGGCAGGCCGAAGGTAAGACAGTAAGACAAGATGCTGTGTCTGCCTGCTGGGTTCAGAGCCATTTCATAGGCTTAGACCTTTCCAGATGAGCATCTTGCTGGCAAAGGGCAGGCAGCTGTGGAAGAGGGATGGGGCATGCTGGTACCAATAGTGTTTCCTTATCAGTGTACCTAATTTACGTGAACATTTCTAGCATTATTTTGCTCATTGGCTTGCTGTAAGACCTGAGGACTGGAGTGACCAAATCTGGCCGCATCCCCCAATCTGTGTAGTATGGAGGAATCTTTGGAATAAGGGTGTCACGGTGGGATTGCTGTGACTTGGCATCCCACAGGGAATTCTGGTGAGGGAGTGGGACTTCAGGCCAGCTCCATTGATGGCTTTGTGAATGCCTTTTGCCATTAGTCCTTTTCTGTCAATTTGTTTAACCTTCCAAACAGCTTTTAAGGTGGGTACTATTATGCCTGTTTTACAAATAAGGAAACCACAGATCAGAGGCTTTGCCACTTACTAGTTGGGTGCTTTTAGGAAAGAACGTAAGTTCCTGGTGTTCAGTTTCTCCTTGTGTAGCATAGAGGAGAGCGGTGGCACCTGCCTTGGAGCGCTGTGGTAGCGGGGATAGGAGATAAGATAAGCACAGTGCGTGTACCACAGGAAGGACTCAAATGTTTCTCCTCCTCTTCCTAGTTATTAATGTGCTCATCCTATTCTCATTCTCACTCTCATCATACTGGGACTGGACAACTATCTCCCCTCTTAGAACGGATGTTGTTTAATGTGGCATCATTTGGAAACAGGAGCTTCACAGGTTAAAAAAACAAAAAGTAAACAGTCACAGAGCACCTCAGTGATCCACCTTGCTTCAACCAGTCTGCGAGAAATACTTATTTATTCTCCCTCTTTGTCTTTACCCTTAATTCTTATCTATAGACAGAAGCCAAGGGCTCATCTTTAGGCTGCCAAGGGTGAGGAAAAGAGATTTTTCTCATGGGATAGCAGGGCAGAAGAGTAGATGGTTGTCTGGAATCTGGAGAACAATCTTTGTTTTATCCATCGATCCATCCATCCATCTCTTCATCCATCCATGAATTTTTGGAGTTTCTGCCATGTGTTGGCCAAAGAGGTTCAACAGAAGACCAAAGTGAGGTGGTTCCTGTCCTCTTGGAGCTCACACTCTACTGAATGAAAGAAGAAGAGAGGTTTAGTTACGTAATTCCAATTTATTTATTCTTTTTTTTTAAAAAAAAAGCAAACTTCTAAGTCGGAGATGGAGAGAATTGGAATAAGGCTATGTTGGCTGAGGTGACTGCGGTGAGAGAAAACACATTTTTCCTGTTTTTAATGCTGAGTTCTGACTCAGGATGGGGAAAAGTGGAAAATAATGCTAAGGGGGTTGGCCCCGTGGCCGAGTGGTTGGGTTTGCGTGCTCTGCTTTGGCGGCCCAGGGTTTCGCTGGTTCAGGTTCTGGGCACAGACATGGCACTGCTCATCAGGCCATGCTGAGACGGCGTCCCACATAACATATACAACTAGAATATACAACTATGTACTGGGGGGCTTTGGGGAGAATAAGAAGAAGAAGAAGAAGAAGAAGAAGAAGAAGAAGAAGAAGAAGAAGAAAGAAGATTGGCAACAGATGTTAGCTCAGGTGCCAATCTTTAAAAAAAATAATAATAATGCTAAGAAGGTCTCTCTTTGCTTTCTCAAGAACTATGAGCTATATGAGATTGAAAGTAACAAATAAAGGGATGTGGCTTTTAAGTAAGGAGCCATCAATAGAGGGGTCTGGGTAGCTTGGAGGGTTCGGGCAGGATGGGGAAGCCCTAATGTATGGAATTCCCAGGAGCTAAACATTTGGGGAGCTGTAACTTTCTTCACAGCTTCCTGCAAGATGGACCTCATGCTGATATCTGTCAGCTATGTGAGATGCCAGTGGGGTTCTATTTTACTTTGCTTTGTAACATTCCTCTTCTTTGCTTTTTTTCAGACCCAGCAATTGTCAATGGGGTTTATTGGTCCGAATCTCTAAACAAAGTCTTTGTAGATAATTTTGACCGTGACCCGTCTCTCATCTGGCAGTACTTTGGAAGTGCAAAGGGCTTTTTTAGGCAGTATCCAGGTGAGTACCCCTGCCTTGAGAATTATGACTCAGATGAATGATCCTGTGGTATTTTCCTTTAAGGTTCAGGGTTAAAATTTTTCTGTCTTCACTTAGGAGAAATTGAAAGGTTAATTCCAAATCTATTAAGTCTATTGTCAGGATGCAGGATGGGAATGATGGTCTGGCATCTGCATGCATATGCACACACACCCACACACACAAGGCATTTGGACCTGCATGTGGTTTCAGCATCTTTCTCAACAGAGTAATTCATAGAGCTGTCACCAGAAGTGAGGAATGGGGGTGTGAAACATACCATATTTAATCTTTCTGGGTAAGAGTGTGCTTTTATTACTGTTACTACTACTCTTATTACTATTACTGTTATTATAATTGTTGCTATTATTATTGCGGAAAGCAGCAAGTCCTAAGTGGGCAGAATTAAATTCTGACTGGAAAGTGTAAGAAATGGAAAATCTGAACTTGGGTTTCCCCACTCCAGAGTTGACTGCCCTTGGGGAAGAGGTTGAAATGGCCAAGGCACTGCTGATGTCAGTAACCCATCTTTACGGGCCACCAGCAGCACCTCAAATGGTGCATTTGTCAGAGTTTGTCCACCATTCGTTTGGAACAGGTGTTCCTTCTGGGGCCTTCTTAGGCCTCTGCTTTGCAATAGGAATTTAATTCTGGCTTGGTTTGAATTTTAATTAAAAAGGGAAGTTTTAATTTTGCTTACAAGTTGTGAAAACAGGACTAGAGGCTGCAATTGTGCCAACAACACAGCTGTAGAAATTAACAAGCTCAACCTAAAAGAAGGAAAAAATGCCCTGCATAATCTTGGAGCAATTAAGTGGAGTCTTTTATGTTTTCATTAAGTAAGACTAGGCACCTGATGTCTTCCCACTTTGAGGCACAGAGACTGCCAACCTCCGCCTTGAGGAGCTGTTTGCCCTGCACACAGCATCTGTCCCCTGAGCCTTGCCTGCTGAGTGTCTGCTTTGCCAGATTATTCAGCATTTCCCGAGAGCCATGTTCAGCAGGGCATGCACGGTTCCTCCTGAAGCTCAGAGAAATTTAAACAATAAGCATCCTATTAAAGATAACGTTATAATAAACAGTGGTCTGTTAAAGTTCCAGTGTCACCAAATTGTAATCTGCTTTGATACACTCAACAGAGAGTAAATGTAACACAGATGTTGCTGAAAATAGAGCATGGTGGGGGGCTGATCCGTTGAAGAAGCCACAAGGAAGGACATCTTACCATCTCACCATGTGGCATTTGGATGAAGGTGGAGCAGTTAAGAAGAAACCACAGATCATCTGTCGTCTCTACCAGCAGGAAGACCTCAAAACTATGGTCATGAGGAAATTTGAAAATGAAAGTGTATTAGTCATCTTGTGCTGCCGTAACAAAACCCCATAACCTGAGTGATTTAAACAACAGACATTTATTTCTCATAGTTCTGGAGGCTGGGAAGTGCAAGATCACAGTGCCTGCGGATTCAGTTCTTGTTGAGAGCCCTCTTTCTGGCTTGCATGTAGCCACTTTCTCCCTGCGTCCTCACGTGGAAGAGAGAGGAAGCTCTGGTGATTCTTACTTTTCCTCGAAGGACACTAATCCCATCATGGAGGCTTCACCCTGGGACCTCATCTAAATCTAATTACCTCCCAAAGGCCCCACCTCTTACTACCGTCACATAGCGGGTTAGGGCTTCAACATAGGAATTTTGGGGGGACATGAACATTCAGTCCATAACAAAAGGGAATCCTCAGAAAGGGTTTATGTAATAGGGGAGATTAATTACCTACAAGGTTTTTATCCATCAGAGCAGTTGACTTGGAAATGCTTACAGTTCTTTTATGACATTTGTGGCAGAATTTTGACTCTAAAATGTCGACATCTTTTCTTTGTTAATAAAGATGTGGGTCACTCCTGCAAAGGGGTTTCACTGCCCTGAAAAATGTCACGTGGTCACTCAGTGCTTGGTTCTGAAGGGAGAGCACATCTCTTGTCTCCTGGACATAAAATGATTATTGGAAGAATGATCCATGGGCATTTTTTGCCAGGATGTTTTTCTTTTCAGGATGCCTCTTTCCATGTTTAGAGTGGCAAAATAGTATAAATCAGCGGTAGGTGTGCATGTTCTTAAGCAGAAGGGATGTTTCTTCGTTCTTACATGCGTGTATCCAGTTCTTTGTTCCAAACACTGGGAGAGGTCCTGAGGATAAAATGGTGAGCTAGACAGAAAAGGTCTCTGCCCTTGTGAGGCTCCCTCTTATGGGCAAATGCATTCATCAGGGATTTTGCTTGTAGGTGACAGAAACCCCGTTCCAACCAGCTCCAGCCAGGAACACTTTTATTGGCTCATGTCACTTGAAGTCTAGGGAGTGTGCTCTTTTGAGATACAAGCTGGATTCCAGTAGTCAGCAATGTCATTTGGATTTTGAATCTTTCCTTCCATCTCTTATCTCCACCTTTCTCTATTCTGACCTTGTTTCACTGGCAGGTAATGTCGTGATGGGGAATATGGCTGAGGGTTTGCATAATTATTTTTCAGTTATAGTCCCAGGAGAAGACAGAGCATCTGTTTCAAAGCTTAGATGAAAGTCCAAGGGTTAGCCTGGTCTGGATCACATGCCCACATGCTGAAGCCAGGGGGACTGGATAGTGGGTAGGGCCAGCCATCTGATACCATGGGCATTAGTCAGAATTACTGTGGCCTTGCCTGACATGGATCCCCAAAGGAATGGGATGACTGCCATTCGGAGAGAGACAGGTGAACAGGCCATTGTGGTGCAGGTATGGGGGAAATAGAAGGAGCAGGGGGCTCATGGAAGAGAAACACCAATCCCAACTTCTGGAGGTGGGAGGAAAGACTTACTGGAAGGAGAATTTTAGTCAGTGTTAGCCTAGTAGCATATCTGTGATGATGTTGTCTCTTCCTGTGTAGATTCACAGAGGTCTCCACAAGTTCAGCTTATATCCTGTAGACATGTGGCAACGCTTTTGCTGTGCTATCCAGGAGAACTTTCTGCGATGATGGAAATGTTCTGTATCTACGATGTCGAATATGGCAGCCACTGACCACATGTGGCTATTGAGCACTTGAAATGTGCCTAGTGAGCCTGAGGCACTAAAATTTGAATTTGAATTAATTTAAATTTCAAATGAAATAGCCACATGTGGCCAGTAGTTATCATGCCAAACAGTCTAACTCTATAGGCAAAGACTTTTGTGATCTGATACCCAGTTTTCAAGGTACTGGTCTTACCTTTTAATGCCTGCATTGCAAAAGGATCTCACTAAACGAGAACTTCAGTTAGGCTCTTCTGAACAATAACAACAACAATGACAATAATAACAGCAACAAAATGCTAATAAAGGGCCTTTGAGCTCTGCAGGATTGGTTTCTTAAGCCTCATGGAAGCTCTGTTTATTTCAGTTTCATCCTTGGGAGCCTTTGGGAGTGCTGTGAATATTAACATTCATGCTGATGATAGTGATAGTGACCTCTGTCTGTTGAGCACTGTGCTGGGTGCTTATATAAGCATTGTCTGATCTAATCTTCACAATGATTCTGTGAGCTGGAGCTACCATAATCCCCATTTTACAAATGAGGAAACAGGCTGAGAGATTAACTGACTAACCCAAATCACACCAGCAGGGTAGAAGGGAGCTGGTGATGGTGTTAATACTTCAACCACCTCTTTCTCCTTTTCTTCTCTTAGTGGTTGTTGCCCTATAAAATATGAACTTGGACCTGCAATCCTGAGCCATTAGGCTTTCAATCCCTGTCTCCTTTACTAGGATACCTGCCCCAGGAGGACAGAGACATTTGTTTTATCCATCATTCTGTCACCAGCACCAAGAATAACACATTGTAGGTACTGAGTATGTATTTGTTGAATGGATGAATCACTCAGTGGCTCAGAGGCCACCAGCTCAGTTGTCCCTCATCACACTGGTAGTAGCAGCTCTCCCTCAGAAACAATAGAGCTACTGCCTCTCTGGGAAGCTGGTCACTGGCTGCAATCCAGTGACACTAAGGGACCAAGCAGGAACTGCAATAAGTACAGTATAGAGCCATGGTCCCTTTCTTGTCTCCATAGCTCCCTGTCCTCCAAGTCCTCCTAAGCCCCTGCCTTTTCTATCCCAATGTCCACCAAGTCCTGGACTCTGGATGCTCCCTTCTGTTGGCCACCTCTGTATGGTTAGTAGGGTTTTCACGCTCATCATCTCCCAGGAGGCAGAGAATCATATCCTCACAGTGAGCCTTTTTCTTGGGAGCCTCATCCAATTCATGATTTTATAATCCTGAGTGGGACCCAATTTCCACCTGGTTGGGGCCATCGGTGCTGATCCATCCTCCCTGTTCTGACCAATTCTTACCTTTATCCAAAATGAAATGGCTAGCTGACATTCCTCTGGAGCTAACTGTCCTTAACTATAAAGAGAAAACTGTCTATATGTCAAAGACAGACTAATATCTAATCAAACATAAGACACCAATTAAATTTATTCATGATGGTAAGAAGCTCGGTTCCTTCCCCAGCATCAAACACTCACCATTTCAGAACCTCATCTCTGGGAGCTTGTTCCAGTAGGAGTCATGATGATCACAAAAAGAAGTGACTGACTTATCCTTCTGCCACAATTTCTATGCCATAGGAAGGTGAATGCTGGTTCACTGTACAGCCGTGAGGAGGGAGACAGATGGCTAAGTAAAGAGCACTCTGCAAGTTTGGACTCATACAAGCCGTAGAATAGTCATCCATCAAGTGTAGGTTCTGTGCACAGCATTACTCTGTGTTTATTCTCTTGCCCATCTTCCTCACCAGGCTCAGGTTTAGCTATATTACGGTAAAGTATGGCTGATATTGGAGTTCTCTTCCTTGGCCAGCTCAACAGGACCACCCCAATAAAAATGATCATGGAAAACCATAGTTTGTAATTTTCATAGCAACTCTCTTGTTACATACTCATTTGTCATGGTGAATGATTTCTCAAGAGGTTGCTAAGGGAGATGGCCTTTGGTTGAATGAAGGAGCTTTTGTCTGGATGAACGCATAGCCAATGTCTCAGAAGACAATTTAAAGCCAAATTTGATGACAACTCAACTCACGTTAGAAACTAGCATTTCATTATAAACCAGCTATTTTAGATCTAAAGTTATGTTGGAAGGTATTTATTTAAACTTTAGATTATGCGCCAAGTGAAAAATATTTTTTGAGAAAGGAATTGGGCAGAACTTATCTAGTTAGGGATAAACCAACATCTGGTACTTCTTGATTTTCCTCCTTTTCTTTTTACATGTTTCTAGACTTTTTGCTCTCTAATAGGGAAGAGAAATCCCATGTCCAATGGATAATTAGTGTCTTTTCAGGTGGTGCGTTGTAGAGATGGCTTGGATGCCATTGGCAGTGCCAGGGAAGTTGTATGAAAAAGACTAGGCACCAAATGGAGAAGAGAAGCAGTGGGCTAAGATACTTTTTTGTTGAGGTGGATATTTTGCAAAGGGAGATTGGAGCCAAGCAGAAATAAATACAGAGGGCAAAAAGATATTTGGATTTTTATTGTGCTATTTGTTATAGTCCTTCATAGTTCTATTAAACAGTCTTAAACCTCTTTGCCCCATGGAATTATGTTGGCAGCATGTGCATTGACTTTCAGACAATGTTCTCTTAGGCTCTGCTCTATTGACCCTACTATTCATTTTTGTGTACTAAAGGAGAACATGAAGTCATATGTTGTCTTAGATGAAATTAATTTTTTTCCAGTATTAGTTTGTAGTGCCTTTGGGAGAGAAACCATGGGAAACAGAAACATTGCACAATATTTTAAATTCAATCAGATTTGAACATTTGAATTTGCAGTAGAGATTTTGACATTATTTTCAGTTTCACCTAGTGATATGCTGACTCTTCTAGAGACTGTCCCCTGAAAGCTGAGGAAGGCAGGCTAGCAATCACTGATGCTGGTAATGAAGCCTAGAGTGCCTCAGAGAGAAGGCTGAATGGCAGCTAAGTCTGCTGTGAACTGCATCATTCCTCTTGTCTTGAGATTCACGCCCCAGCCAGCCTGGGGGACAACAAGGCCTATTGGCACTTCCAGAAATTATATGGCTCATGGGGGTGTTTCTTGGTTAAGTGACAGTTCCCTGGATCTCAAAGACTTAAGATAAGCCAACTATGACTTCTCTGGGATTTGAAGTTATTTAAAGAGGTTCAAAGTATCTGTGTGTACCAAAATTATATAATAAAAAGTTTATTTATCCTAGGAGAGATAGCACCATCTGGGACAGAGTTTCCTGAATTTAGTCTCCTAAGACGTTTTGTTATGAGATTCTTAGGGGAGGAAGGGCTCAGTGGTCAAATTAGTTTGGTAAATGTGCCTCTGCTGTCCCCATCACAGAGATTCAGGATGCTCTTAAGCAGCTTAAAGGCCTTCAGAGGTTCCTCCCATGGCACAGAAACCAGTTTTACTTTCATCCACTTCACTCATGGTAACATCCCATAGAACTTCTCGTGGGACACCCTCATGGAACTGCCTGTGCAAGGAAGAGAATAATGGCATGGGATTTGGGAGATCAAGTCCTAGTCCTAATTGGAAATCTCAGGAAAACTCTGTTGAACTCTAAGAACCTTGGAATCCTTGCTGTGAAATGAAGATTTGGACCTAAACGTCAGATTTGAGCAAGATGATCTGACCCCCCCCCCAAGGCCCATTGAGCCCTGACTTCGAGTCAAGATGTCACTTTTATCGTTACATCCAGTGCAGCTGTGTCTAGAACTGCCCAAGGTACTGTCTTCAGCCCCACTCAGTGCACCTCACGTCTTAACCAGGAAGAGCCTGGGCCTCAGAGTTCCTGCTGCCACCCAGGCTCCTTTCCTCTAGCATACACATTCCCTATGCACAGCCACGTCAGCATTCCTTCCGTTCCTTGAACTTGACATGCTCTTCTCAGCCTCAGAACCTTTGCGAATGTTGTTCTCTCTGCCTGAGGTATTCTTCACCCTGTGGCCACCCTTGACTTTTGTTTGATAAGTGCTACCCATATGTAGTGGATTGAATAGTGTACCCCCAAAATTCATATCCACCTGGAACCTCAGAATGTGACCTTACTTGGAAATAGGGCCTTTGCAGACGTAATTAAGTTGGGATGAGATCATATTGGATTAGGATGGGCCCCAAATCCAATATGACAGGTGTCTTTTTAAGAGGAGAGGACACACAGACACGGAGGGAAGACAGCTCCGTGACGGTGGAGGAAGAGACTGGAGTGATACAGCTACAAATCAAGGAACACCAAGGATCGCTGGAAGCTAAGAAAAGGCAAGGAAATAGAACATTTAGAGGGAGCATGGTCCTGCAGACACCTTGATTTTGGACTTCTATCCTCCAGAGCCTTGAGAGAATACATTTCTTTTAAGCCACCCAATTTGTAGGACTTTGTTACATCAGCCCTGGAAAACTAATATACCATCGCTCAGCTCTCAGCTTAAAGAAGATGCTTCCTTCACCTTAGGGATTAGAATCGCCTTTTATATACTAACATAGCCTCAGGCACTTCTACTTCAAGAATCTCTGGTGCTTGTCATTTCTTATCTAATGTCAGCTTCCCTAGATGTGAGGCTTCATGAGGCCAGGCAGGAGCCAGACTCATCTTTCTCAGTCTCTATTGGATGTCTGCCAACTGGCAGAGTGCTCCAAGTTTGATGAAAATTGTGATTGGCAGGCAAAAGGCTCTGGGGTCATCCCATTCGATCTACTTTCCCTCTGGAAGTGTACCCTTTACAGGGTTTCCCAACAGACTATTTCATATTGACTTTTCAAAAAGCACCAAGTTTCAGCAGTCCCTGAGAGGAGTTATAAGCCCGTTTGCAAAGAAATGATCTCAATCCAAAAGTAGAGCATCTAGTGTAATTAATTCCTTCCCCCCAAGCCCTGGCCTAAATGCTGGGGCAGGAAAGGAGAACTGCACATTTTCTCCTCCCAGTGGAGCACACAGTGACGGGAAGGAAGGACCGCAGAGTCAGGGAGGGGATGCAGGATGATCAGATGTGGCCCTGGTCTAGGAACACTCCCGGTAATTCAATTCAGGAAACATCCACTGAACGTCTACCATGGGTGAACATATTTAAAAAATTATCTTTATATTGGACTCAAACCAATTCCTCGTGAAATTACAAATTGGAACGTTACCTAGCCTCGTCATGGATCTAATTTCACTATGTGTCAGGACTGTGCCATCCTGGTTGTACTTGGCTTTCTACAAAGCAGAATGTCAGAAGTTTTTAAAATAAATTGCATTCTTGTCCCTTAGTGTACAATATCATGTCAGTTTTCTTTTATCTTCATTACCTAGTGACCTTCAATTGGCAGTGGCTTCTCATACTTCCGTTTTCTGATTTGTTACAGGGAACTCTTCAAATTAGGCACATGTGCAGGTGGGAAATGTAGATATAAGGAGCATAGAGCAAAATGGCTCTTTGGGTTAAAAACTGCCATCTCACGGCGATCTGTGTAATAATTTGGGGATGGCATCTTAAGCACATGCCTGTCATTAGCCAGTGTGGTCCTGAAAGCTGGCCATCATTAATTGGAAAGGAGAATCTCAATGTTACAATCGGAGTCAAGACTTTCTCCTGTGAAAATAATTTTCTGTTTTTATTTTCTTAATGCCAAAGTCTGTGTTTCAAATCCTCCATTCCTGAGCAGCACTGATGGTTGAAAATAATGACTTCTGTCTTATTTTTAGGCAGCACACACATTTCTTTTTAAATGAAATTTTATTCTTAAAAACTAAGTTGTAAATAAAGAATGCCAACTTAGGACATATCCTGAACAGTTTGCAAACCATGAGGCTAAGGATGTTGGATCCCATTTTACACATGGGGAAAACTCCCGAGGCTTCAAAGCCTGAAATTCAAATTTTATTATGCTGCATAATTAGGCCCATTTTACTTCATTTCAGTGTGGAAGCCCAGGCCAAAATTCCTGATTTTAAAAGCAGCAGTGAGAAGAGAACAGACCTGTGTATTTTCTGAGATGGAAATGTATGACATACTTTCTACCCCCCATGCTATAGACATTATCTTAGCTGGGTCCAGGGACAGGGCCTGACTCTGCCCAGAGATCTATTAATGATGCCACCAGGTCCAAGAACTTTCTGCACAGGGAGAAGTGACCTTGGCTCACTTTATCATTAACTAAAGGAAGGAGCTAAGCAAAGGAGTCATGTCCTTTCTTGATGGACAGCACGTTACTAAAGGTGTCACCACTCTCCAGCTGGTCCTGGAACAACTGGGTAGGGCCGCGTTTGCTGTAGTGTTAGAGTGCCTTCCTAAAGCGCCCTCCCAGAGTCGGTGATGGAGTGCGTGATGAGCTCCCGGGTTGGTCTTTGCATGTGATTTTTCACCCTGTCCATTCAATCAGCAAAGCAGAGCAGCCTTGAAATGCTATGAATAAATATTTGAAGTTTCTGGGTTTCTTATAACTCCATTTTTCTTCTAGGGATTAAATGGGAACCAGATGAGAATGGAGTCATTGCCTTTGACTGCAGGAACCGAAAATGGTAGGAAATGGTCAAACCTCTTAGTTATTTTTTAAAGAGGAAACTTGCAGAGAGGGTCAGAATTCATTTTTACTTAATTTTCCCCTGACCTAGGTACATCCAGGCAGCAACTTCTCCGAAAGACGTGGTCATTTTAGTTGACGTCAGTGGCAGCATGAAAGGGCTCCGTCTGACGATTGCAAAGCAAACGGTCTCATCTATTTTGGATACGCTGGGGGATGACGACTTCTTCAACATAATTGCTGTGAGTGCAGCTATTTTGTGCTTTCTTTGCCCTTTGGGTTCATTTGATCTTTTAGCAGCAACTGGTTAGCATTCCTGTTGCTTTTGTATATACAGCATTAGATGTCCCAGGATGAGGACCTGTTAGTCCCCTGTGAGTTTACTGAATCATGACATTGGAGGGGCTTTTTGGAGATGGGGAATGTACTTGAGCACAGCTCCTTTCCTATCCTAGCAGGCAGGCACTGACACCTGGAAGAGTGGCACCAGATTTGGTTTTCGTGGGGAGCCAACATTTTCAGAACCTTGGAGAATTTGACCTAGTGAGGTTTTCTTTAAACTGCTAGAATTTCTCATGTGGAAATTAACTGTAAGCTACATTAGTCTGATGATAATGATAATAATAATAATCATGATGATAAAACAACTAGCAGTTTAAGGCTTACAGAACACTTTATCTCAGCTTCAGAAACTAAAGTGGCATGTATTAAGTGCCTACTACATGCTGTTTGCTTATTCCAAATATTTGCATTATCTTCGTTCCTCACAGCAACTCTAGGTGGTAGAGGGTGGTGTTGGCATTTTCTCAAATGAAGCTGCTGAGATTGAGAGAGTGTCAGTAACTCGCTCGAGGTTGCAGAGCTGGGAAGTGGGAGATCCAGGAACCAAGCCTGGGCCATAACATGCTCTAGAAAGAGCACTGATATAGGGTTCCATCTCCAGTTTTTTTCCTCTTCTCCCCACATCTATGGTATGATTCTCATCACGTCTCTTAGGTCCCTCCCACTCTTTTCCCAAAGATTATAGCCACGGTGAGCCCAGTTCTTTCCTTTGAGGACTTAACCAGGTGCTCACGTGTGGTGGTCACCTGTGCTTCGCCGCACCCCCTCTGTCTGGGACCTGGAGGGGCTGCAGCAGGCAGGGGAGGCAGCATGGTATGGGGAACAGAGTTTGGGCTTTGGAGTTGGGTCTTAGTTTTGAATCTTAGCCCTGCTGCATACAGCTGTGTGTCTTGGGGCAAACCACTTGAGTCTGAGCATCAGCCTGTCAGCCATGAAGTGGGTGGTAATCGTGTCACCGCAGGATTGCTGCCAGCTTACCTGAGCTGGTGCACAGGAGGCCTTGAGGCCGTGGTAGGATACGAAAGAATGGGTGCTGTCTGAAGAGCGGTGAGGAGGTGCTCAGGAATGCTGTTGCTGTGGTCTGCATGGCTTCCCAGGCCCCTGAGCAGAGTGTGTCATCACAAGACCTGGTGTCCGGGCAGCCTTCGGCAAGGGCACCACACCCACTTTTATTTGCTAGGCAGAGGGCACGCGAGTTTAAATGATGTTGGGCTACAGATGGGATTGCTTGAATGAGTGTCCTGCCTGCATACTTCTGATGAGACTCTGAGCAAAAGGACACAACCACAGGGCACCGTGATTTATAGCTTCAGATTTTAAAAAGCCGTAAAGAAGAAAGGGGAAAGAAAGAGAATAATAAATTCCATGGGAGCAGGGGTTAGTCTTATTCATTCATTGAACTATCCCCAGTGCCTAGGACAGTGCCTGGCAAATAGTAGGAGTTTAAATATTTGTTCAATGAGTGATACCAGCAGCTGCCTTCCACTGCGCATCCACTGTGTGCAATCCCCTGCTAAGTGTCCAACGTGGATTGTCTCATTGGATCTTCAGCCCAGCCCTGTGCCAAGTGGCATGGAGAAAGAGGCACCAAGAGGTGGAAGCTACTGGCTTGAGGTCACACAGCCAGAAAAAGTGGTACAGGGAGGACTTACCTCATCCTGCTTCCTGAGCAGAAGGGAAGAGAATGGAGTTGAGCCAGTCAACCACCTCACTGTGAGACTGTGTGGCCCCGGGGCCCAGTGCTTTCGAGGGAGACTTTCAGATACTTAGAACTTGGGGTTTCCAAATCAAAAAAAGTTACTCTAGTTAGCAGTCTCTTTGTGAATATGCAAATATAGCCTGATCCCCACACATCCTGAAGCATTTACAGATAAGAAGCAGCTAATTTGGGACTATCTTTCTTATTAATCTTTAATTACTCATTACAGAAGTATCATAATTTTGCATAATAAGAAGAGCTAACTAATTACATCATGAATCCTTTATCAGTCAGGATTTATTGTTCTGTTAACAAAACCAATCGATTGAAATAATCTCTGTAAGTTCATTAAGATGTACAAGCAGTGTCAACTCAATAATGAAGAGAGGGTGATTAAGATAATTAAAAGTAGACATGCCAGTTGTTACCGGACAGTTAAGGAAAAAAATTTTTTTTTTACCCAAAATTGTCCCTTTATGTAAAGAAACCCATCAGACGTCTCATTAATCCTCACTGTACATCTGTTTGTTAGTTTTCAACATAAATGATCAGCTTCAAGCCTATTTACGTAATTATTTCGACAACTAGACAGACACTCTGAACTTTGTTATTCGAAGCCTCTAAAGTAAAATTATGAACTCTGTTCTAATGGGTAAGGGAATGGATCAAATATGTTAGTGAATTTATATTAAAAGCCTGAGGTGAGGGGATAAAAAGAACCACTAATTAACAGCAACTTTTACACATTGTTTTTAATATAGGCAATATAGGTAAAAATTTTAAACAATTCAGAAATGTTCCCATTCCCTTTCTGTTAGGTACGTATTCTTCCAAATATTTTAACGTATGTGAACACATGTAATTTTTCCACAAAAATAGAATCTTATTTTATAGAATATTCAGCAACTTGCCTCTATACTCATATTGTAATCACGTGTGTTTGAGTAGCAGGGCATTCCATCACCTATAGTTGACGTACATTTTGTAACCAGTACCCCTTTGCTGCACGTTATGCTGTTCAACTGATCTTTTTTCTATCCAAGAGAGCTGCAGTGCATGGACTTGTGCATGAATTTGTGCAGGGCTGCGTGTGCCTCTGTTGAATAATTCGAGAAGTGAAATTGCTGCACCAAAGGCTATGCACGTAGTTAGGTGTTATCAGAAAGTCCACTCAGTAGGATATGATGTTTCCACACTTAAAAACTGTTTTGGCTCCATCTGCCATAACAACATACCATAGACTGGGTGGCTTAACCAACAGAAATTTATTTTCTCACAGTTCTAGAGGATGGAAGGTCCAAGATCAAGGCCTGGCATGGTTTGGTCTCTGGTGAAGACTCCCTTCCGGGCTTGCACTCAGCCACCTTGTCGCTGTGTGCTCACATGGCCTTTTCTCCATCGGATGAGCCCGTGGATGGCCCATGATGGAGAGGGAGCCGGAGCAAGCTCTCTCAGGTCTCCTCTTATAAGGGCACAATCCCATCTTGAGGGCCTCACCCTCATGACTTCATCTAACCCTAATTACCTCCCAAAGGCCCCACCTCCAAACATTGTCGCCTTGGGGGTTAGCGCCTCAACATATGAATTTAGGGGGACACAAACATTCAGTCCATAGCACCAACACTTTGAAGGTCCTACATAGGAGATTCATAACTGGTAGATCTTCATTTGCATCCCCTCGGGTTGTCTCTCCCATCCCAAAATGTGTTCACCAAGGTTGCCTTGCTGAACTGTGGTGGTGTTTTTTCTCCATCACCTTCTCCTGTTTCTACCCTGGCAAAATTGCTCTAATAATGTGGTGTGGATTTTTGCTCAATCTGTTTAGAATGGTCACTTGCCTCCGTCTAGAGGGGGACGCCACTGCAGGCTCTTGTGAGTGGGATGGGCTGTTTGAACCGCCATCCGGAATGCCCTGCAAATCTGTTTGAGTGCATTGTTCTTGTCGGCTGGACTCCATTTACGGAGAAGACATTATCATTTCACCCCTCATTACACCGTCAGCCTTCTCTGGCTTGCCATGTTGATGTTTGAGGAGACATTTCACTGTTTTAGAGACAAAGTAAAGAATGCTATCTTTATTTTCAGTGTCGGAAGCCCTCGTGCATTGTAGGTTTTTGTTTGTACAAATCTAATTCATCTTTGCCATTTGATTTTCAGTGCCATGATGGGGAGCGGAGCGGGAAGATTTAAGTAATGGGAACAGCTTTCCTTGCTCATTCCAGTCAGTTTTGCATGTTCGTATTAAGTTCATTGGGAAGTCCATCTTATATGTTGTACTGAAAAGCTTCTAATCTAGGTCTTTCCAGAGAATAAACATGAAAAGATAATGTTAAAAGGTGTTTTAGCTTTCATGGACAGGGAATCGCAAAACCTATCTAAGACTGATGAACTAGATGATTGAATTATAAAAGAATAGTTGAAATATGAGAGTGATTTTATGCAAAGTTAAAATTTAAGGTCAAACCATTGGTGCATGCAGAGAGATGTCTCTGACAAGAGAAGAGCCATATTTTTCTGATTCACTCTGAAGTCTAACTCCAAGCCATGCATTAAATTAACAATATTATCATAAAAATGAGGGTGCTAATTCTGTCCGACGCTGAAATTTGAAAAATGATTTTACAGAAGCCTAAGCCATGCATTAAATGAACACAGTATTAACTGGGCTGATATTGTTAAATCGATTTAAATGCCTCCTGCAGCCCGTGTTTGTGCAGAGTTGAATAGAGAAGAGCATCATTGGTTAGTTCAACCCAGAACTTTCTGGTGCCCTGGTTTTAATTTGCAGAATTTTCTTTAGAACCGTTTCTCCAGTGCGTTGCCTGCTGTGGATTTGCTTTGTAAAGTAATCGATTCCGTATTAAAAGTATGAGAATGGTATTTTCTTTCAGTGCTCATTTGTTCTGTACTACTAATTACGTCCAGCTATGTTTCCAATTACACAAGAAGTTTTTGTAATGCAAAGGATCTCTGGGATGCCTTGTGTTGGTGAAAATATTGTGGGTTCATCTGCTTCATTACATAATCCCTACACATTTTTATTTTAAAGGTTATTTAATCAAAAGTACACCAATAAAACCATAAAAATATTTAATGGAGTTCCAGCAATTCCACATCAGTTTCTTGCATTGTATGAGCATGCCAGCATTTTAATTTTATAGGATTTTTGTGGAACTTAGGATTCTCTAAAACGTCCCACTT